GTGCAAACTAAAGTTCAAAAATTTGTTAAATTATTGAATTTCTAAAGTAAAAACTAAACAGTGAGAAATAGGACTTCTTTAACAAAGGAAATATCAAACATAGTTGAAAATAGAGTATTTGGGCCCTGAAAACTCCTGTGTTAGTTGCAATCACGTATTCGCAAGTACAAAAGAATCGTAATGCCATGCCCAAAAATAACATTATGTGAGATGGTGAAGGATCTCTAAACACTGCACCCATGAACTCTTTCTAAAACTCACGTATCTTATTGTGAAATTTGAGCTTTGAAACGGTTAGCAACCACGATGTGATTTAGACCATTTATGCTAATGAGCCAACTAAATATTTACATAATAAAACAAATTGAAATTTCTTTATCACAAATTTATTGAAAAAACCTCCTCAACACGAACTTCCCATTACACTCTTAAATGGGCAATATTGCAGTTTCGATTATCCAGATAGTAGGCCAAGGTTGAGAAAAATCTTTTAATTGCTGTGTTTAATAATAATAATAATAATAAATGAATCTTCGACCAACTACATTAATCCGTGATTAAAATAATAGACATGCTCCCTTTATTAAAATTTTCAGCCATGGTAACTGCGTTTAACAAGTTCTTTAGGATAGCCATCTGTATTAAACTAACGAATCGATTGGATTCATGTGCATTGCGCAGCAAATCAAGACACGCGTATATTGTGACAATCGATCGAAAAAATTGCGAAGTCAAACATTGGACGAACACAAGCGTGTAAAAGAGGACAATGCGTTATGAAGTAAAAATATATGCATAACATTTCTAAATATTGCACTAAGAGCAGAGGTCTACATTTTCGGCAACCACCCGGAATTAAGCTATAGAACCATTGGTTTTTTGTTTTTACTTGACATTTTTTGCTCCAATCCACTGCAATAAAATCGCACCACAAAGTTAACATAATTGTGAAGTTATGTCAATAGAAACGTTTAAGGAAAATTAATCAAACAATGCAAGGTAACCACGCTCATCTGTGGTCTTAAAAGCCTTGGCAGCACTTTAAATCCCTCGCTTTCTTCATTATTTAATAAATTACGCAGTCATTTATGTATTTTATCGACAACACTGCAATTTTGCCTTTTTTCTGCCTATTTTTAGCAGTTTTCGCGTACACCTGGTCATTATTGATTTAAACGAGCTAGATAATTGTACCAACTGAATGTCCTGGATAATCGATTTAATTGAGTCTAGTAAGTTGTATTGATGATTATAGAATTTATTGGAGGGGATGGGGGGGGGGGGTTCAAGTGATTTTGTCCTTTTGCCGATGTCTGAATGATTACAGGGTAAGTACTATCAGTGCACGTATCTACTGCCCTGGAGATAAAGTAATATTAATTGTACGAAATAAGAAATCTAGATTTAGACTGAGGGTACACAAAAATGTAGACAAGCAAATTCACAGACATACAGTTCCTCTAATCCGCAGTTAGATTATGCACTTTTGTCATGGAGGATACAAAACAGATTGATCCATATAAAAAAGCATTTTACCTAAACTCTACTCTCCAGAAGATAAACTTACCTCCTCGTGGTGCACCCTGGGCAACGTATACTCTTACGGCAAAAAAGTCTATCAACCGGCAGTTGACTTCTGATTTCAAACTACCATCACCCCACTGTATGTCATATTCGACCCCTATCACAGTACTCATCTTACCCTTTCTGAGCCTTGGTGTCTGTCTGTTTCTTTTACATCTGTGAATCACTCTTCTGTTCTCCCTCTCGAATTCTTCTCATTTTGATGTTCCTCCCCCCCCCCCTCTGTGAAGCCCGAAGTCAACTAAAGGGCTAATGATGTATAATATACCAACAAAACTCGATTTTACAGTGAAATCAACAACAATGACAAATTGCGACAAGACTAAAACAAATCCTGAGAAGGTACATTTGGTGTAGTTTTCCAGGAAATACAGTTAAGTGAACAGATAAATTAGTGTTTAAGAAAAAGAAGGTGCTTTCAACAGGAGTATTCAAGTTAGCTTAAAAAAGAATAAAAAATATTTGTTACCACTGTTTTGAAATAAATTTTCAAAAGAAGTTAAAATTTATTAGCTTAATGGGAAATGAACAAGCCTCTTAGAAGACAATCATAGACAGTGAAAGAGTAATAGCAGACATTACAGCGAAACATGCAAATCGTGAAAAATAAATTATTGCATAAGAGCAATCCGATAATTCTTACATGATTCATAATCGCATAGTAAATCGTGTAATCAAAAGCAGGTTTTCCTTATTCAGAACGTAGACAATGTCTCCAAAGAAATTTACGACTGACTATAACAGAAATAGGGAAAGTAAAACTATTGCAGCAAGCAAAGTAAATCAAGGAAAAAAAGGAACTAGTAAAAGATAAACCATAAATAAGTAGGAAGACACAGAAATTATTAATACTTAAAGAAAAGTTGATTTCACATTTCTTAAAGTAACAAAATCAAGCTAAATAACGTATTTCAGAAAGATATTTGACAGTCTTTCAACAAAATGGATAACTGCCTTCGAAAGGAATAAAGCTCAGGCTGTGGTAGAAATGAGTAGGTAATTGTACTGAAATGCAAGGCCACTCAAGAAATAAAATCAGAGACGCGGAGTGTATGCGTTATGGTAAACACGCAAGCTGAATCGTCCGTTAAACCAACCAAACCACCCACCCACCCACCCACTCTCTCCCTCTCTTGTCCGACGGATACGCGCGTTCAACCATTTGTGCCGTGCAAAAATGTGTTAAGAAACCATAATGATGTACCGCAGTACTACCAAAATAAACAACTGCAAAAAAACTCAACACTTTTAATATCTTAAACCTATTTGGGAACATTTTCAGTCCAATCTCACAATAACAATAATGGGTCTTGTTTTTGACCCAGGAAATCAAGTTATTAAGTAAAAAACTAAGATTACCTATTGTTCCAAATTGAGCCTAGAAGTTCGAGAGACTCTCTAACTCGATTTTTGTTGGGATCCTCTCGCAGAACCATGTTGTAGGACGAACAGGCGGCGACAAATATGATGGCAGTGACATCGTTAAAACACTGGATCCATTTTCGCCTTTCCTCCCTCTGTCCACCAACATCGAACATGTGGAATTGCACTTTGTCTACAGTGAATTTGGTCTCGAAAATTCCAGATGTGAGAACACGACAACGCAGGATGTCCTGTTCAGTGGGAATATAATCCGGTTTGGCCAATTCTAATGATCGGTCCAGGAAGCTAGATAAATAAATTAGTAGATTAAAGAAACTCGTTAAACATACTATTTCGCACAGTCGATTAATTGATACTCATTTGAACGTTCAAACGCTTCTTGAACACCAGCATCAGCCCATAGTTTGCAGCAATTAGTAAAGAAAATTGGAGAAAAATCAAAATCATTTTTGGAAGCTTCATCTAGCATATAATTTCGAATGGGGACATTTGATCGGTCCTTTAATTCAACCGGAGGTTTGAGATTAGGCATGGCACCAACGATGGACTGAAAAAGTCAAATAGTTTTTTTGAAAATGCAACTTACGCAAATGGCATCACGCAGATTCCTCC